ACGACGGACAACCCACAATAACGACAACTGACTCTACTGCTAATCAGCCAGAACGACAACCTGACCACTCAGGAGGGAGTCCTACGGATCACTGGCGATAGCCAGGCCGCTCAGCCACAACACGGTCCAACACACCGTCTAAATGACCACCTCATAAAGACGACGAGCCACCCACCGCCACAGATAATGAGGCACGGCCAGCAAGAGGGATCGAGTAGCAGCAACGAGACAGCTCCACCAACGCGACAGGACTCATGGACACCCAGGCCGATAGCTGCACCACCAACGCCAAATGACAGCATCAACTGAATGGCACCAACAAGAGAGCCACGATACAAGGAACCTCCCGCCACATCCCAACTGCATTCATTAATGAGGAGGCCAAATAACCGACAGACCGAACGAGAGACGCGCCCACGGCCAAGCGCAAGTGGTGCCATCAAAGCCACCACCAACGACTCCGCCAAAAACCATGGGAGGGACATCGAACAGCACCACAACCAGGACAGCGACCACATCCCCGACAACGCATCAGGTGGTAAAGGTCAGCGCCAACAGCATCCATGACTTGGCCACGGTATTCGAGATGGATCCCCCACCGACAGGACGTGCGCCACCAGACATGACATCGGGTACCAGCCTAAGCGAGCGACATCAACACCTGATCGAACACTTGACCAACAATATCAGCACGATCCAGCACGGCCGTGAATCCAGAGACTTCAAGATCCGGACCCACATACTCATCTCAAACTACTTCGAGAAAATGAGCCACATAAACAACCGCTACGACCTGGACATCGGGGCAGACCCTGACATCCGTCTCGAGTACGACCAGGTAATGGATTACTTAGAAGCGTGGCTGAACTACGGCTTTCCATACGATGGGCAACGTGAGGCGCGAATCTTCCGCTTGACCGGGCGCCAGACCCACCTTGCCCAGTTCGCCAACCACCAGCCAGCAGTGATGCTGACCTACAAGACTAGGGAGCCCACAAAGGACGTACGCGCCCAGCTATGTACATGAACACGGCCCCTCGATCCGCGAGAATGGCCGCGTGATACGACCATTCGGGCAATGCGTACTCTCGAAACCAGCGCGGATTCATGTACGTGTACGTCCTTCTCTCGCTCCTGAAAGACCGACGACGATTCAGACGACTTACGGACACAAGCGCTATGGCTACACACGAGCGGAGCATGCTCATGTCAATCAAACTGGCCATACGCTACAACCCGACCTCCACGCCAACGCCCTTCCCATTTACGCGTTTCCAGAGCATGACTGCGACAGCAGCCATGCAGAAGATAACCGAACTCATCAACGCAAAAAAACCCACGACCAAACGAACCAACCCATGACGACAACAGAGAGCAACAAGTACCGGCTCAGCCGCAAACGCAATCCAGCACAGCTAACCTCAACTTTGACCCAACAACCGCCAGACAAGCCGACACACCAAATGTCAAGCAACCGACCGCAGCAAGTGCAACCGACACAGACAGGCGAGCGCAACCAGATCCAGGAGCTCCCACGACGCAACAGGTGGGCACCCTTGGCAGAGCACGCAGCGTTGCAGAAACAGCCCTAAAATCAACACGCATTGACCAATCCAACAGCCGACACCAGCTCTTGAACTGCACCGACCCACCAACAACGGCACCATGGGCCATGACCGACGCCGACAACCAAACCAAGCCGGCAGGGAGCCTCACGGAAGAGACCGACATGGGTCGAGTGACAACCACAGCAACTACTAGCAGCCAAACTCCGACGCGACGCTAACCATACCTGCAACCGACCAGCACGAAAGCAACCAGACCCGCAGCGAGAGTACACACAAAGATGCCAAAGCAAACGATGGCTCCCCTCCCTGGCAATCGTGGGAAGTTGAATCCGCCGACGCTGTCGGCGTGTGACAGGGGCTGCTCCGTCGCCATCGGCGTCGCTGCCGCCGTCGCGCCGCCGCCGCCATCACGCCCCCTCCTTCCCCTGAGTCCGTCGTCGCTCCCCCCCTTTCCTTTGGCCCGCGTCCTCAAGCACGTCAGCCAAAGCGGAATACACCAGCTCGTCCACAGCGAAATCAAGCGACGTTGCAATTGAGTCGAAGGGAAGCCCCTTCTCTTGGATCCCTTCCCCGCGGAAGGGGGGGGTCCCGGGGGCTGGTCCCGGGTCAGAATGCCACCCTCCCGGGGTGTGTCGATGGTCGAGGCCTCCAGCGTCGGCGGCACCGGCCATAGGGCCTTAGCAATACAACCAGTACTGCAAGGACCAGCAGCCCGACCCAGCCACGGCAAATCAGAACACTCCCCCTGGTTGCCCAGCGGCACGGCAGTGCGCCCACCTCCTCCTCAGCATGCACAATGTTGTCCAATGTTACCCAACGACAGGCAGGGTACCTTACTTGGGCGTGGCTTAACGGGGGGGTCATAAATGGGGGTGTCAGAAACGGTCCCCTTTCGTGCCCCTTTCGGGCCCCTCCGGAGCCCCAGGGGGCTCGTTTAGGTACCGTTTGGGTACCTTTTCGGACCACCCGCGACACCCCCCCATTTATGACCCCTCCATTACGCAACGCCCAACTTACGCCAGCTGCTGCCTTCCGGCACCTCACCTCTGAGCACTATCATTTGACCAAACAGCACGCGCTCACTGACGGGATCGGCAGCAGCACTGCCGGTCGTACCATCGCCAGACCCGCTTTTCCGACGGCAGGCCAGACTGCGCACTGGGTCCCCGAGGGGCGTTCTCACCCACGCGCTATGCTACACCCTGCGAAATGCTTTAGAAATCATGGGTTAAGAAATTCATAGTCTCAGAACTTGGAGAAAAACCCAACATTTCCATTAAAATCTTAGGATTCACATTGAAACGTTAAGAAAAATCAAGTCTGGCCGAAAACTTACGTTTTCTTAAGCATCGCCCAAGGTGTAGATTATCTGACGCGTCAACAGAGATAAGGTCTCGGCATACGTCGACAGCGACAGCAGCAGCTGTGCTACCAGTAGGTCCCTCAGGGGCATTATCACCCACGAGCCATGCTGCCTCAACCGACGTGAAGGCTGAGATAAGGTCTCTACCAACCTCCGACCTTCCCTACCTCCTGCCTTCCTTCTCGCAGCCCCGCTCCCCCTGCTTCAACTCGCTAACCTCGCTACACCCCAACTCTCGTGGCGGCGGGAAGGGTTAGAGATATCGGAGTGGGAGTAGGCAAGATCTCACCGCAAGCCGTGCTGGCAAGGGCCAGGGCGGCCGCGGCCGCAACCAGCAGATAAACGCAGTCAGCAGGCAGCCACGCCACTTACGGCACACTGCAGGACCAGTGTCGTGCGCAGAGTGAGTGCCTCGCACCCAGCAGGTGCCTATCACATTGCCAAATTCTGCCTAACACTTTTCCAAATAACCTCTACCTCCACCTCTACCCCGCAACCGCAACCACGTGTTGCCAATACTACCGAACAATGGGCTTTCATGTTGGAGGTCGTTGGATGGGGGGGATGTCACACCAACCGTCACCGTGCCGCCGCCACGGAAGGCAGAATTCTCCCCCGAGCACGGTGGAAATCCCTCCCAAGTGCCCCCCCCCCCTCCGCGATCTGGTCACCACACTCCTGGATTGCAGGGGAGGGTACCATTCGCGGGGCTGGGGGTCACCTCGGAGGATTTCCTATGTGCAGGGGGAGAAGCTATTCTGCCTTCCCACTTGGCGAGTGTGGCTGGCCCACTGCCCACGGCGAGCGGCGGCCCGCCACCGCCAGGATGGCCCAGACCTCCCTCGCGCTCGGTGGAAACCCTCAAGGCGGCCCCAAGTTGGCGGCGAGCGAGGGGGGGAAGTGAGAAGGAGAAGGCCTTCTCAGAAGGCGGCGGGACTTCTCAGAAGCCCTCGCGCCTTCTGAGAAGTTTTTTTTGTCTTCGGGGAAGGCTTAGAAAACTTCTCAGAAGGCCAGGGGACTTCCGAGCCTTCTGAGAAGGCCCGCCCCTTCTCACTTCCCCCCCTCGCTCGCCGCCGACCAAGGTCAAGCGCCAGGAGCCCTACGCCTGCTTGCAGACGAGGGATCCCCCCTTTTGGCCTCGGGGGCGTCTGTGGGGGGGTCCTGCGAGCAGCGGGAGAGGCCCTTGGGCCGTCCGACTCGGCGAGCGTGGCCAGGTCACGCCACCGCTTGCCGCCACTGCCTACTGCACTGCTACGCACAGTTGCCATAGCTCCACCTCCACGTCCTCACCTATTGCCGCGTTTAGTCACGCCCTACCTCAACGTGCGCTTTTAAAGCACCCGCCGGACGGCCCAGGAGGCGATCCGACACCGCCAGCGGAGCGCCGCTGCCCTGTCACGCGAATGGCGCCACTGTCATACGTATGGCAAGCGCGTTGCCTTACGCCTCAGGGACGAGCACCGTCCACGGGCCACCACTCCACCCCCACGCACCTCAGCAAAGCAAGGGCACCTCAACAGAGGGGGACCCTGGGACGCCACCAGGGCACTGGCCCCGCGAGGCCAAGGGACCCGAGGATGGAGGACCCATACGACGGGCCCTGCGGGGTTCGTCAAGCGCCACACGTACTACTACAACCGACCTGCTGCCGCCACCAGCATCTCTCCAGCTTGCTCTCCCATCCCTTCGTTACGACATGATGCCCTCTCTTTCCTCCCTCCATCCTCCCTGTCTGTCTACTTTAATATAACCTTCTGCTGTTCTATTATACTCCCCCCAGGGCTGGCCGGACTGCCAGTCCTGGGGGAAGCGGCAGCGTGCGGAGCACTCTCATGCCATCAGGAAGCTGGAAACAGGAGGAGGAGAGAGGGGGAGGAGCAGGCGGAGGGGGAGCAGGACGGGGAGGAGGGGAGGAGGAGGAGGAGGAGGAGGAGGAGGAGGAGGAGGAGGTGGAGGAGGGGGAGGAGGGGAGGAGGAGGAGGAGGAGGAGGGGGAAGGAAACTGGAAACAGGAGGAGGAGGGAGGGGGAGGAAGCAGCGGTTTGGGGGGAGGGGGCGGCTGGGGGGCACTGCTGCATCTGGACGCGGGACTGCACCTCGCGGCGGCGGGCGGCGCCACGAGCGGCAGGCCCACCGAACCCCCTTCGCGCGGCGAGAGATCACGACGGCGCTGCTCTGCTTCGCTCACGCGGTGTGGCTCTCTGCTGCTGTTGTGCAACTTGCTTTTTGGTATACACCTTAGGCGATGCTTAAGAAAACCTAAGTTTTCGGCCAGAGTCTCGATTATTCTTAACGTTTCAATGTAAATCTTAAGATTTTAACAGAAAGGTTGGGTTTTTATTCAAGTTCTGAGACTATGAATTTCTTAACCCATGATTTCTTAAGCATTTCGCAGGGTGTACGTGTTCACCTCGGGGGCCCCCTACTGCTTTCCGATCTCACGCTCCGGCCTCGGGATGCCCTCCGTGGGCCCCAGGGCCGCCACGGAGAGAGGCTCGGGCCGAAGACTCGGGACGGAAGGCGGGTCCACGTCGTGGGACAAATCCACGCCAGGCCAGCGTCTGGGCTCCTCTCCCGACCCCTTCCTCCCTCTCCCCCCTCCTCGCGAACCTAGAGCAATTACAGCGTGAATTACCTCCCCCGCTTTCGCTTCCAGGCAAAACCAATCCAAACCACGCGCCTCCTCGTCAAGCGGCCTGACCAGTACAGGCCACAATTTGGCATCGTTTGGTATCCCTTGGAAGCGAGGGTGGTCAAAAGCGAGGTAGGTTTGTTTTCCCCCGAAGCAAGCGGGGTCGGAAGGCCGCACCGCGTCGCCGATGCGTCGCTGATGCAATGGCGACATCGGGCCGGACAACAGTCGGGCTCCACACTGCGCCACATCGCCGATGCATCGGCGACGCGTCGCGGTCCTCCAGTCCCATCTGCTCCGGCCCCGTGTGGGAGGCCTGGATCCTCCTCCTCCACTCCTACAGCCCAAGGTGGTCTTCGAGCCACCCTGCACCACACCCACGGCAGCGCACGTCTGAGGGCCACTGCCAGGCCTAAGCTGAGCCCAGGTGCACTGGAACGCCAGGGGAAGACGCATCGAAGGAGCCAAGGAACATTGAGACCCTTCCGAAACCAAAGCGGGCCTTATAAAGTTGAGCTCCTTCCGAAACCAAAGTAGACCTTATCCCAAAGTTTTGACTGTACTCATCCCTGCTGCTTTTACTCCTCCCTCTTACTCCCTCTCGAATCCTCCTGCACCTGCACGACGATAGCACCGATTCAACCCCCCATCGGCGCTGTCGGCGTGGATGGGCCAGAGGACTGGCCGTTCCAAAGCGACCCCACCGACTTCCCCAACAGCGGGGCCGCATCGCGATGACGCCGTCGCTGGTTTCTGACACCGCGTGGATCACCCACAGCTCGCCATCGCTCGGACGTCCATTCCCTGTTTTTTTGTCGGTTTCGTGCGTAGTTTTCGCCAAATGATCAAGGATGCTCCTCGACGGCCCTCGCCGAAGGAAAAATGCACACGTCCGAGCGATGCCAGGCCTGAGGGCGGGTCTCCTCCATGGGTCTGAGCCGAAGGAGCCGTGGCTCGTCGGAGCGTCCGAGGTGGCCCCGTGATGGCGCCAGGATTGCCTTCGAGATGGCGCGGGACAGCCAGAGAGCATTTCTTGCTCGCGGCGATTGCGTCCCCGCCCCCCGCCGTGACGGACCGTGGTGCTGGACGCACTACGGCAGTGCCGGGGACGAACTGGGGGGCGAGTGAAAGCGACGAGTTGCGGGAGAGGAGCGAAGAGGGGGGGGGTCGCGCGCTGTGGCCCAGAGGGTCAACAGAAAACACTCCAGCTGCTTGCACAGAGGGTCCCCGACGTGGCCCCGGGAAGCCCCACGGGGCCCCACGATGGCTCCGGGGTGGCTCTTGGGGGATGTCGTGCGCTGTGGCCCAAAGGGGGTTTAAAAAAGCACTCCAGCTGTCCGCCCAGAGGCCCTCCGACGTGGCCCCGGGGATCCCCACGGGGGCCCCGCGGTGGCTCCGGGGCGGCTCCCGAGCCTCCCGCTCCTCGCCTCTTTTTGCTTCGAGTGGGCGTCGTGGGCCCGTGGAGGGCGCCGAGGCGGCCCAAGTGGAGGGGCCCTGGGACACACAAAGAAGTAGACACAAATAACAGGATTCCCCACATTTTCTCATATTTTCGGGTTTTTTGTCTTCCCCACCCATTCTGTATATTTTCTGGGGGATCGACGGTAAATTGTGTCTGTGTGTTTTTTGTTCCTCCTGACCAAGGAGACCCCCAGAAAAGGGGATCATAAGTGCACCACGGAGGGCCTCCAAGAGCACCCCAGGAGAGCCCCAGGTACTGGCCATCGCTCGGACATCCATTTCCTGTGTTTTTTTTCGGTTTCGTGCGTGGTTTTTTCGCCAAAAACGATCGAGGATGCTCCTCGATGGTCCTCGCCGAAAGAAAAACGCACACGTCCGAGCGATGCCAAGATCAAGCCCCAAGAGGCGAGGGCTCCCAAACGGGCAAGGCTGACTCGGGACCTCCATGAACAGTCGGAGTGCCTGCAGCAGCGGCGCCAGGAGGGCGCGAAGCTCGACCCAACATGCCCCTAGAGAGCCCCCAGAAGGATCCGAAAGGCTCCCGAGAGGGCCCGAAGAGAGAGAGAGAGAGAGAGAGAGAGCGAGAGAGAGAGAGAGAGAGCCAGAGCCAGAGGAAGGCGCCAAAAAGCCAGCAGCATGCCCCTGGAGAGCACCAAGCTGGCCGCTCGAGGAGCTGCCGAGGCTGATCCTTACTGTGATCTGACTTGCGCCTGTGCCTCCCTCTCCCTGCTTCGCGGATGCTCCTCCGCCGAAGGGAGGGGAGGGAAGGCACTGGCAGGAGGCACGAGGAGAGCGCCAGAATTTGCAGCATATCCAAGGGCTCCCAACTTCGCGCTTCGCGCTGCGCGAAACGCGAAGTGCGAATAACTTCGCGCTCTCGCGCCGCCTCCCAGGGGAGAAGAGGAGGATGAGGAGGAATCGGAGCCGAACCGCGAAGCGCAAAGCGCGAATAACTTCGCGCCCTCGAGGGCGCCCTTGATATCGGCAAGAGGAGCTGCAGCAGAAGGAGCAGGGCGGAGGTGGGGACCGGGCAGCTGTGAGAGACGGGGGGCGCCGATGCGCTCGTGCCTCTGGCGCCCGGCTGACGCCTCCACAGAAATAAAAAACGGCATCAGCGTAAACTGTCCGAGGTCCGCGCGAACCTCCAGGATCGGCCCTAGATCCCCGCCCATGGCGCGCGGAGCGCGCCAGGGGCGGCGCAGGAAGCGCCAGCAGGAGGGCAGAACTCTGATCCCAAAAACCCGGGCGGAGCTCCGAAAATTCGTGGCCATGCTTTTGTCTTCTCCGAAATCACCTGGATGCCGCCTCCTCGCGGGCATCATTGATGAACTCTGCAGGCGGGAAGGGGGGAGGAAGCGAGGGGTGCACCGCGGCACCGCGCGATCCTCGAATGTCCGCGCTGGGGGGAGGGCTCCTTCGTGATTGGAGTGCGTTCGTCGATTTAGCGCCGCGCCTGCCGCGGAGCCGACAAGCAGCGCCCTGCTTTCCACGCCGCCGCGGCCCTGTTGCTGCCTGGCCACAAGTCACCCGCCAGAGAATGGAGGGCGGTCTGGGCGTGCCTCGTAGACGGCCGCCCGGGCCGCAAGCACGGCTTCTGCGAGGACGTGGAGGAATGTGCGTTCAGGGGGGGGGGAGCCCCGTGCAGGTGGAGACTCTAACGGAAGGGGGGAAGGGTGGGGTGGACGAAGACGAGGTGGTGGAGGGGGGAGAGGTTGTGTTGTGCTGTGTTGTGATGTGCCGTGTTGTGTTGTGCTGTGTTGCGATGTGTTTACACATGCACCCCAAAACCATAGAGCCAGGCTTGAACGTACATACATTCGGAGCGTGCTGAATATTACAATTTTTAGTTAGCGACTTGGGGGGGCAGGGGGTAGAGCGACAACCCTGAAAACTGTGCCAGAGAGAAACCACGCAAACGGGAATATCCGACGCAGCAACCGAACGCGAGAACGGCGCAGCGAGCGGGCCCGAGAGGAGGGGGCACCATCCGACAAAAGATCCCAAACAACGCTTAAACCTCGGGGCAGGGCCACTCCCGCCGACATCTGCAGTGCCTGACCAAACCAAACATCAGTCGGGCAGGCTCTGAGAAAGGAATGCTGGGACCCCAGGGATGATGTGCAAGCCCCAGGGCGGGCTGGGCGGGAACCGAAACTATTGCCAAGAGAAATAGGCAGTTGTGCCAAAAGAATGGGGGCGGTTCCCTTGGGTCAAGGCGGGGCTCGTGCAAAAGTGTTCTTTGTACTTGTGAAATGGCACGTGGGCCCCGACAGCATGGCGCACCTGCAGGTCCTCCTGGGGCTGGTGCGAACTGACGTCAACTGGGTATGATAAGTATCGTTGTTGGATTACCCGCGCACGTCAAACCCAATTCCTTGGCTTCCGCGCGTTCGTGAAGACGGTGGTCGGCTTCTTCCTCTCCCCCCCGTGAATGCAATAGTCCACCTCCACGGGGTGCGCGCCATCCATCTTCGCAAGGGCCTCCATCGGCGGGAAATCCCAGATCATGCTGCCCTTTGGGTTCTCCAGACTGAGCCCGATGCCGAAGCTCATGCAGATCTTGGCGACCTCGGCGGCCATCAGCGCCAAGGCGTTGCCCTCGTCGATCTTGCCGCGGCCCTGCTTGCCCCGATCCGGCAGCCCCCAGCCGCGATCGATCGACCAGAGGGGGAGCCGCCGCGCCCTCGAAGAAGAATCGCAAGGCGAGGCCAGGCGCGCCCGCCAGCGCCAGCCCGTCCGCAACCCCCGCAAGAGCAGCTCCAGGCCCTCGGCCGCCGGGACATCGAACTCCCGGCCCCGCCCCGCGCCCCGCGGCCCCCCCAAACTGCGCCAACTCCCAGGCCTCCCCCGGCAGCCATGGGGCCCCCCGCAAACATTTCCAGCGCGCCAGGGCGACCCGCAGCAGGCGACCCTCGCAGGTCCTCACCCTCGCCCGTTGCGCCCATGCCCTGCTCGATCTCCGCGCGGGCTCTCTCCGCCATCAGCCCCCCGGGCCCCCCGCCC